CAAGATACATGCCCTTGACCGGAATCGAACCTGGGACCCTTCAATCTGCAGGCCAACGCTCTATTCACTGAGCCAAACTGATTAGGGCTATGGAGCAACTTTTATTTATAAAGTCTGACTTAAGGTGATTAATTTATCACACACACACACACACACACACACTCTTTTCAGTGCCAGGATTAAAGGATTTCATTGTTAAATGATTACAACAGAATTAAAATATAAAACATTCTATTTATTTACACAGTTACTGGATATTTTTCTTTTCAGAAAATGATGAAGGAATGTATGGTGAGACTTATATATTGCGAAATGCTTGGATATGATGCTTCTTTTGGCTACATACATGCAATCAAGTTGGCACAACAAGGAAACCTTTTAGAAAAAAGAGTAGGTATGTATGTGTTCAAGACTTAATGTTGCCTTTAAAGTTCCAATTACCATATAAAATGAATGATGGCAGGTATCTATATATATATATAAAAGCCTAAGTGACCGTTAAGACCAACTGGTCGACCAGTTGCTATGATGCTCACTGACCACCAGGGAGCAGACACTCAACACAGGAGCTGCCCCCTGGTGGTCAGTGCGTTCCCACTGCCAACAGCCCAGGTCCCTCCCCCCGACCGGCCAACCTCCTGCAGTCCCTCCCCCTGGCCGGTCAACCTCCCATGACCCCTCCCTCCGGCTGGCCAACCTGGCGTGGTCCCTCCCCCCAGCTGGTTGGCCCTGATCGCCCCGATTAGAACCTCCCGATTGGCCCCGGTCAACCCTGATCAAGACTGGGCGAGATGCCCCAGTCAGCCCCGATCACCGGCCAGGCTGAGGGACCCCACCTGTGCATGAATTTGTGCACTGGGCCTCTAGTATAGTATGTTTTTAGAACATTGCCTTGTAGTTTCCAAAGCTCTAAAAAGGTAATAGTACTTCAAAACTCAGAGCCAATAAATAAAGTCAGTTTTCCCGATTCATAGCATTTTGGAGTTATAGAGATTAAAAATTGCCTATTCTTATGATGGTGGTTGGATGACTATATATATATTTGTCAAAACTTGTTAAACTAGACCTGGCTCAGGTTGAATGTCAACCTATGAACTGGGAGGTCATGGTTCAGTTCCTGGTCAGGGCACGTGTGTGGATTGCAGACTCGACCTCCAGCAGGTGGCGTGCAGAAGGTAGCTGATCAATGATTCTCTCTCATCATTGATGTTTCTATCTCTCTCTCCCTTTCCCTTCCTCTCTCTGAAATCAATCTATAATAATAAAAGCGTAATATGCTAATTAGACTGGACAGGTGACAACCTTCTGGACGAAGCCACGGCTGCGAGGGCCGAGCCCCTTGCATGAATTTCATTTTGTGCATCAGGCCTCTAGTAAAAATATATTTTAAAAAAAACCTCATTAAACAAAAATGGGTGAACTTTCTTGTATGCAAATTATATAAACTTCAGTAAAGCTAATTTTTAAAAGCCCGTCTAACCCCATGAACTTAATGATCAGAAATGTTTCTTTATAGAATAAAACTGAAATTGACTTGAATAATTTTAAGTATCTTGTTCTCAGTTTCACATACGTTAGCTATAAGGATTAGAGGCAT